GGTCCTGGTAGAAATCATGTTAATGTCAAACAGGTATATATATATATATATCATATACACTATCATATACTATACGTCTGCAGGTGTGGGTCTCACAATATCACTTGCGCATGCCACGTGTCTTCCAATGCAGCATTTTGAATCAATTGAGCATGGGATCTACATTGCCCACCCCAAACTTGATCCTCTCATATCCTCGGTAACCTGTAGCTTGTTAATAAGTCACTCCTGTTTGTGAAACCTCTCCACCTCTCTCCAGCTTTTACTCATCAAATCTCAGTCAACATGACATGCTGAGACATGCTACATACTCCTCTCACGCCTTGCCAGCCACCACAGCCCCCAAAGGCATCCAATCGAAGGCCGTGTGGACCGCCTCGAAGACCTATAGTTTTCGCGAGGAGCACAGCCAGCCACAGGTGATTTGATCGGTTTTGGAAGGTATCCAAGTAAGTCACGGGCTTCAACCCCGGTTACGCTTGGCTTTCTGACATGCCTCTCAAGCAAAGATTGAAGGCCCACCATGGACTAAGCCGAAGCTTGATTGTCAGCAGCACAAATTCATAAATACCGACAAAAAAGCTGTACCAAACTCACATATCGGCCCACTGGTCTCGGCCCTCCAGCACCATGGCAAGCATGTGGTTAGACGGGTGAACCTCCTGTGAACCCCATATGTAGCATAGTCCACATTATAGTCCAATCAGTGAACCCACTGTCAAACCTGGTGAACCCCCGATTCCCACTGTGAACGGGGGGATCCATTAGGAGTTATATTAGCCCGCCCGAGAATCGCAAAGACTTGCGACTCACATGAGTGCAGCACCCGCTGAGAATCGAATCTTTGCGCGGAACCCCTCACTTTCCATCCGGGTCCCAGGGCTGATCGCCATCGCTTCTTCATGCGGCTCTGGCAGTGGAACCTGGGGATGAGGCATTGGATGCATACCTCACACGACGGAAAATGTAAGGCAGGTATAACTATAATTCTGGCAATTTGCCGCATACCGAGAGGACTGCAAACCTTTCCCCAGCCCCGCTGAGAGGCTCTCTGTGGAGCTCCTGGGTCCTCACATGTCCTCACTGGGAACTTGGAGAGTAAAGGTTCAAGCTTCACCGGTCACCAGGTCCAAATCATATCGCAAAAAAGGTACGTGATTGGCAGCCATGATGGAATAGTACAGCTGTGTACTAGTAGCTTGAGCTATGCAACAATAGGTCTGACCTTCTTGCCCCTTTTGCACGGTTCCACGCGTTCGTCCAGGCATTCGCACATGGATTCGAGTCTTGGAATCCACCGCTATGCATTGCGCCAACATCTCGAAGGCTGGGGTCCACGCGACCAGTCACGGCGGTTGCTGTTCTTCAATTCGACCGGTCACGAACGTTCTTCTGCACCCCGGGCTTCGATGCGCGGCGAAGTCGCGACGCGACGCGTGGCGTGGCATGAGGCCCGGCAAAGGCTGCGACGACACCCTGTTTGAGCGCTCACCGACGGCGGAACGATCGGAACGTTGAAAGTGCCGGATCTGATCCCATGTTTGAACACTGGGAGGCTTTGACCATCCGAAGTCTTGCATTCTTTGAAAATGGATGATGAACACCGATACTTCGCGAGTTTTTACCGACCGTTGTTTTGCAGACAGCAGCTGTGCACATCTCCTGGGTACTTTGCCACTGAACTAGGTACATCCCCCCCCGGCCCCTCAGTTTTGAAGTCATCTTAAGTCGGTTTGCGATCGACGAAGAAGAGCCAAAAGCCAAAGGCACCGGCTACTTTCCGATTTTCCAATCAACAGGCCTAGCGGCCTCCCTCTCATGCACGTCAATGGCAACATTTTGAGTTGTGATGAGTTGTGCAGCTGTTCAGTGCGGCTGGCACCCCAAAAAGCGATAGGCTCCCCTCTTTAGCGGTACTAGAGTCATCTTGCTTCTCAGGGAAAAGCTCCCTGTCTGTGACACACCATACATATCCCCCTTATCCTTCGGCCTTTCTCTTGACCAAAACATGTGACGTCAAAACCTGTGACGCTGCGGCCAGGTGACAGGAATCCCAGGTCGCCCATGTTTTCGCTCATGTCGCGGAACTCGTGGTTGCCGCGCACCAAGTACACCTGGAAGACCCACGTGGACTGGAAGACCAACGTAGTAAACTGCGAAGCCCACAGATACGCATCGTCGGAGCGGTTTGGTCACGCTCAACCCTCAACCAAACACTCCGTCAACAGGTTTTCAGCACGGGGGGGTCGCAATTCCGGCGCTCCACGTGAACCAGTTGGATCGACGGCTTTCACATGCATGGGGGGAGGACAGTTGGCTGGCACTCTGCCTCCATAGCAATGGTAATTGTATTCTTTGGGTTGAAGCTATCCAACAACAAAGCAATTCTGATAGTATTTGACTCAATACCTCTGAAGTTGAGAAAATGACAGCGACCTCCCAAGTTGGATCGTCTGGGTTGCTTGCCCAGCAGCCAGTGGATGCAAGCAAAATGCATTTCCCAAATCCCCTACAAAGGGATCAGGGATAGTGGGGAGTCGCTTGGTCCCAAAGAATCAAATCCTGGGTGATTTGTCCACTATATTATTGACTATGATTCAAGTTTTGAAGGTATGCATGATTGAGCAAGTGCTGGTTTCAGTTCAAACCTTGGCACTATGGCAACAGATGGCATCACGATGGTCACTGTGGTCTCCAAAGCGACTTCGGTCGAACGTACGTCCAACGGCGGAAAACGCACATTTCCGGCTCACACGCTCGCCGGTTCGCCTGCATGGGATATACCACATGCAAAGCAAAGAGCAGCGTCACCACTTCAAGCCTCAAACGCCCGGGGGCTGATTTGCTGAAGTGACATTGGACTGGAGGAGGATTTGTTGTGATCAGTGGTTAGATTGACATTCCCTCTTTCTTGACGGCAAACAGCAAGCAGCGCTCTGACTTGAGGCTCTTCGTGCAGTGCTTCTGACTTCACTCAATTCGCTCTGAATTCATCAGCTCTCTTTACTCCTTTTAGATTTAACCCTCTCTCGCTTCAAGAAATATCGTTTCCAGGTCCAAAGTAAAACGAGAATAGCAACCGCTAGCCCACTGTTTGATAAAACCCGTAAATAGAACCCATTCAACATGTTTGTTCATCTGCTCTATTCTGAAACTATCTGAAACGTTCTGAATCGGCACGCTTTGCAACTTTTCGTCAAGGCCATCAGTCCAGACTGCTTGTTGCAGCCTCTGATCTCTGGAGATCGGATGTGCGCCTAAGGCGGCATCGCCTCATTCACATCGTAGATCATTTTGATGAGCAGCGCCCCCCAGGCGAGCAGAAGAAATGCGCAACTCCACATGGCATAGGTGGTATCCTTGCCAGGTAAGCCATCGGACGCCCCCGTACCAGCTCACTTTCCAATTGGACTAATTGGACTATATACCGTATCCTCCCCTCTTGATTGATCTAAGTTTGGAGCATTTTCATGCTGTGACCATCTAAATGAACCATCACCTAAGCAACCAGTTCTCCTTCGTGTAGGCAAACATTGGGAACTCGGAGAAGGGGAAGTACATGTCGTGATGCGTGTTGGGAAGTATGTTTCCAGCCAGGTGATCATAGTCAGAAAAGAACTGCGCAAGATTCCAGCCAGTCCAAATCATCATCGCGTAGATTGCGCGGAGGTACTCTCCTACAAGAGCAGCAGGTTGTTGAAGCCTTTGGGACCCCCCCGTGGAAGCCAACGATTGCTCCGGGGCCTTTTTAGCGGCCTCATCCTCTGCATCAAAGAGGCTACCTGGGTTGGTGGCAAAAATCAGCAGCAGCATCTGACGAGTAAAATTGGGGCTCATGAGAATGAAGATGCCCACATGGAAAGACGCAGCTCCAATGAGGAAGGTGAAGCGCATTTTCCTCTGCACTGGGCCCTCTGTCATACTCAGCATCGCAGCGACAGGGAGCACAATTTCCACGAGGAAGTTTCCCCAAGACAGGAGCATACAGGTCCAGGGAACCTTGGTTCGTGGTTGGGAAAAAACACATGCCCTTGGTTCCTTGGTCGTCTCAAGGTCGCACACTGAGAGTTGTATACAACATCAACAAAAAGAATGGTCTTTAGAGTACCTGATTTCGGGAACTTCCTTCTAGTCTTTCGACTTCTAGAGCACAAGTTTTGAACAGGAACAAGTTTTGGTGCCACCAAACTCGAAAATCTTCGGTTTCTCCACCCAGGAGCCTTTAAGCCCCAAATGCCTGGCTGGCCCAGCACCCAGGCGGTGAGCCCAGTGACCAGCGAATGATCCCTTTCGCCATGGAGCGGACCATAGATCCACGCGCCGGAGAGGTTGTGCAGGAGGCCACAATACCTGCCAAGAAAACCACGCCGGATCCCTGACAAGGGATCCATATCAACATGAAGCAAGCAATTGGTGGATCACCCACCAAGACCAAGATTTTAGATTCAACGCGTCCGCGAGTGGCCTTGAAAAGCTGCTGACAGGGGGGCTGAACGGAAGGGCGTAACGACCTGTTGACAGGGGGGCTAAGAACCTTCTCACATGAACTTGCTGGCCACTAGTCAATCCCAATGAACTTCAACAGCTGCGACTGCCACAAGCGTGAACTACCTTCGGTCTGCTGGCATGATGGTGGGTCGACGTGCAGTGCACGAAAGGATATATGGATTCGTGAAAACCACCGCCAAAACAACTGGTATACGGTATGTATGCGGCAATTTCATGCAATTTACATGCTATTTTCATGGGTCACCAGGTGCAGTGCAGGTGGTCAAACACGAGAAGCAGCCCACCTGAGCTTGCTCAAGCCTGCGAACCAATAGCAGGGGATCAGCACATTGAGAAGCAGGAATTTCCGCAACCAATTCCCTGCCATCGGGTTGGTCTCCAGGAAGGGCACTACGAACATAGCGGAGAAAACGAAGAGTGTAGTTGCCTGGACAGTGTGGAGAGGGTTGTACATCACCTCCAATATGCTCAAGTAGGTGTAAGCCAACGCGCCACAACTGTAGCGCCACTTGCCTTATTTTTGGACAAGAAATCGCTTGTTTCACACCTAGGAAAGCCAAGCAGGCCTTGGCA